TTATTATTATTATTATTATTATTATTGTTACTATTGTGAGGATTGAGCCCTCAAGTAGGGGCCTTGCCATAATGTACATGTTATGGGCTAAGGCCCCAGCAAGCCTCGTGCCCGCCCTGAGTGAAGGCGGGCCAGCAAATCAACAAGAGCCCTCTGTGCCAACATTTCACGAAGTGGGGTCCATACAGTTGCAGCACGCCAGTTGGTTGGAGTGCACCGAGTCTCGGTTTTCAGCAAATGYTGAAAACCCAGGGCCTCTGAGTTAGTTAGGCCCTGGGCACTTGAACGTGAGGCTGACAATGCATGCTAGGTATAGAGGCCGAAAATGCCAAAGGGAAATCGGCCCACTATCTGAATCTGGCCGCAGGCCTTGATGAAAGAGGTGCAACTGCATCCCCCGGGCCTCAACTGTATCGGGCCTGGGTTCAGCGCCAAACTAATTTGAAGAAAAGTCTCATTATACGATACGAGAGTAATTGACTATTTGAGTAATTAAATGATAAACAACTGGGGCCCAGACGCAGGCTGAAGGGAGGCCGCCCACACGCAACACTAGCATATAGGCAAGCAGGACGAGTGGGCGGGGATCTTGGCCATTGCGGGCAATGCCGGCACGCTGCGCTAATTGCGAGCTGCTGCGTTGCGCTAAGACAAGGTGCAAGGCAGGCATGCGCTAGGCGGTAGGGCGCTGCCTGTGCACGGGGCGCTTGGCGGCCATAGCCGGGCTGCATGGGGCGCAGAGGAGGTGAGGGCGAAGGTGGTTCTTCGGAGGTGAAGGGCCCTCTGTGGGTAACAAGGGAGAGTGTGGGTGAAGAGGACACGTACCTGGTGGAGGTGGAGGTCGGCATTGGTGTTGACATCATCACTTGCTGGTAGTCAAGTTGTCTGGTTGCTTTCATTGTTGTAGTTGTAGGCTGGGCTGTAGAGTAGATAGGGCGCCTGGCGCCATTCAGAAGAGAGAGCTACATTGGGTTATGCTGTTGGGCTTGGATTTTGACTCACGATTCTTCTGTATCATTCTCAAATGGATGGTTACTCGGTTCCATTGTGCTATTTGCTCGTGCTTTGACTACTTGGACTTTAGTGTGATTTTGCAATCTGGATTTCTGTGCTTCGTCCATATTCATGTTTGGTATCGGAGCTGGTTTGATCGCCACTTACCTCTGGCACGCTGGCGTTATACAGACTTGGTGCGTTGACGATGCTTCTTCGCAGTTGGTACTTGTGACGCGAGGCCATATATAGGCGCACACCCTGGGTAGAGAGGGGTGCGCCGGAAGGCTAAGACGGTAGTGTATGCCGTGGTGACATCCGGAATGTATGATTGGTGATGAGAGCATGCTGATGTGGCATTCGGCTGAGGTGGCACTACATTACGTTGTGGGTGATACCGAGGCCAAAACCGGTCATCAAATGCACACTCAGCTCAATTGGTGAGAAATCTGTGGTTGGGGGCAGCTATCTCCAGGTACGTTGTTCCCTTACCTTATCTACTCTCTCAATCTCTTCTTACCGTGAGGAAGTGAGTCCAACTTGAGAGTCCTCTCTTTTGGTGAGCTGTCGTGAGGGCGCTACCTTGAGAGACGACAATCTTCCCGGAAGCATCTGAAAGGCGAAAGGGCGGTGCCTCTGAAGGGCCCTCGTCGAAGCACTGGGTCACGATCACCATTCCAACCCAATGGGGGTAGGTCACGCATGCGATGGCTGCTGTCCATTTTGGCACTTGCTGCGCTAAATAGAAGTCCTGCCGGGTGTGCCAGCCCATGACAAACGCTTACCAGACCGTCTATAAACATTTCTGGTTGGGAGTTCATTGTGAATCTGGCTGTGATCGTCGTCTTGACTGCGACGTTAAAGAATTCCTGAAGAGATGGGGGCGCTCTATAAATTCCTCCTGATCAGCCAGATCACATGGACAGGAAGGCTCGTTGCCGTACGAGGGTAAATAAGAGTGGTTGGGCTGGCTTGCTCGGTAACGACTTGGGCACAGGGGTGGGCCGAAACACACACGAAGACACTGCCTGCTCAAAGATGCTGTTTGGTATGTTGGATTGAGGGGAGGGTAGGTTCTAATTGGTGCTCAACTGAACACACAACCATACCCACTCATCATACATTTGCTACATGGTCTTTTGTATTTTGATTAGTTGGTGGACAGACTGCTAACACCTCACAGACAGAATTAGATTAGGACTGTTGTATGCTACCATAGCCAGTTCTGTCTAATGCTGTTGTAAGTGAACCAATCAGAGTACATCTACACTATGTAGAGAATCTGTTGTGAATGTTGTAGACATGCCATTTGATCGGTACAGTAGGGGACCTGCCGGACACAACTATTTTTAGAAAATTAGGTGCCGGTCAGACACATGCTGTGGTAGGACTCCACTAGGGGGTTCTAGTGCAGACAATGTTTGCCTAATTCATGAACGGATAAGACGTCGATGAGGAGAGAGTTGGCGATGCTAGACTAACACGTGCGAGATCACGTAGGATCCCGCATGTGTTCCAGACCTTACAACCAGAAGACGAAAGACGGCTTCGTGCCGAACGCAGAGCCCGTGCACTAGCAGCAGCTAGGGAAACAGCAAACGCCGCAGCTAGGGAACAGGCTGCAGCAGCAGTCAGGGCAGCAGCCATGACTAGTTCAGCAGCATCCTCTGCTGCGTTGTCTGGGACCAATGGGACCCAGTTCGGAATGCCAACAGGGTCCACGGGTACTTCCAGTTCGTTAGGTTCTCGTCAGTCTACAAGTCAAATGGCGGGCTCGCAGTTCATGCTGTGGTAAGACTCCACTAGGGGGTTCTAGTGCAGACAATGTTTGCCTAATTCATGAACGGATCAGACGTCGATGAGGAGAGAGTTGACGTTGCTAGACTAACACGTGCGAGATCACGTAGAATCCCGCATGTGTTCCAGACCTTACAACCGGAAGACGAAAGACGGCTTGGTGCCGAACGCAGAGCCCGTGCACTAGCAGCAGCTAGAAAAACAGCAAACGCCGCAACTAGGGAACAGGCTGCAGCAGCAGTCAAGGCAGCAACCATGACTAGTTCAGCAACATCCTCTGCTGCGTTGTCTGGGACCAATGGGACCCAGTTCGGAATGCCAACAGGGTCCACGGGTACTTCCAGTTCGTTAGGTTCTCGTTAGTCTACAAGTCAAATGGCTGGCTCGCAGTTCAGCCCGTTAACTCCTCGCGAAAGGGAGCTCAGGGAGCTTCAGCAGGTCGAAAGGATCCGTGAACAGTTAGAGACGGACCTGAAGAAAGCTACCGATAGAGAAAAGGAAATCAAAAATAGAACAGCCAGGCTTGATACGTTAGAGGCTGACAAAGCTGAGCTAGAGGGCTTGAATGACTCTGGGATGAATGAACCCATGAAAGTGTTGAGGAACAACATGTTGTCGCTGCATGCGCACGTGGACAACAGGTTGGACTTTATACAGCGCACTCTAGACCAGATCCTGGATGCTTTGACAAGGCCAGGATTTAGGCCACCAGCACAATCGCCGTTGCCGTTATCGGTGATGTCAGGCCCCTTTCCAGTTCAAGCTGGTACACAACCAAGTGGTACGTCTGCAGCACTCGCACAAATTGTTGCATCTTCTTCTTCGGGTCCAGCGGTTGGGGGCTACACCACCGCAACAACCTGTTCAACAATCTGGACAGCCGCAGGGTCAATGGTATCCTAAGACCCCAATGAAATCGCCTCTTGCCTTCTCAGACGAGAGAAAGGACAAAGAACTCAACACATGGTTGAGGACCGTCCCGGTTTGGGTGAAGGCAAAGAGGACCTTGCCTGAGGATGAAGTGGTAACTGTTGCATCTTACCTCGAGGGTAAGGCAGCCAAATGGCTAGATGGTGTAGTTGTGAAGGCAGGGTACGGGCGACACATGGCGGACTGGGCTAAGTCATTAACGTTAGACCAGTTCATGGAAATGGTAGAAGCTCGATGACATAATCCACAGGAGGCACAAAGAGCCACTGATGCGATTAACAAACTGCACCAACGGAAGTTCAAGTCGATCAGAGAGCTTACGACTACCGTTGAGAGCCTGATCCTCGTCCCTAGCATCAACTATAGTGACCAGTTCCTGTTAACAACCTTTGTTAGATGTCTTCCTGAGAACATCAGGAACTTGCTGGCCAGCGAGGCACGCCTCGAGTACCATTCATTTGAGACATTGTCTAGGAAAGCCTTAGATTTGGAGGCCACTCTAGGCAATGCTCAACCCTCACAGAGTGACATGAAGAAGAAGAAGAGTCCTCAGGAGTGGAAGAAGAAGGGGGCGAAGTTGATGATGGTTGAGTCCGATGGGACTCACACGGAAATCAATGAGCTCACTGACCTGATGGACTATACAAAGTTTGATGGCGAGGAGGTAGCTGAGGGTAGCACCCTCGCCGCCGTAGTCAAGACTAAGGCAGGTGGCCGAGGGAAGGGCCAACCAAGGAGTCAAGGGAAGGCCGCCTCCAATCAGTCCAAAGTGGCTGAATGGGTGAAGGCAGGTCTTGATCAAGACGTGTGGCGTGACCGCCGAGTGTGTGGCGCTTGTATCAATTGCGGGGGATACGGACACTCGCAGTACAAGTGCCAGAACGCAAGGGTTATGCAAAAGATAGCTCCAAAGATGGGGGCATCTTATTCCCAGGCTTCTAGCTCGGAAAACGCGTGAGGCCAGTGGAAGTTTTAGCGGCTTCTACTCAAGATGACGTGGGCTTGATACCCTCCCCACTTCATGACAAGGCCGAAGCTAATGACTCCTTAGCCACCCCGCAGACACATCTAAACCAAACTGTGCTCTGTACGTTTGATGTGTCTGAGGCCTTAGAAGACTTAGAAGGTGAGTGGTCAAACAAGGACCCTCGCGAGTCTTGGGTGGCACTGAAGAAAGGTCCTAGAGGGGAACATTTCGTGGTGGAAGTGGATGTAGGAGGCCGCAAATGTGGTGCCTTCATAGACATCGGATCCACGCGGAATTACATAAGTCGCGACCGTTTGGAAAGGTTGCACCTATAGGACCGAGTACGGCACCTTAGTAGACTTGTAGCATCTACTTTGGCCAACAAGGAGCGCATGATAGTAGTCTGTACCTTCTCCTATGGAGGAGGCGAACTTAATCATAAGATTTCGTTCTTGGTTAGCGACGACTTACCATTCGACATGTTGTTACACATGTACTACCTCGAAGTTGCTAAGCCCCAGTTTGACTGGGATAAGAAAGTGCTCAAGCATAAGTTGCCCAATGGTCGAACTGTCAGATTGACCAAGTTCAAGGCCAGTAGCATTATAGATACCTATGGCTGCTTGTGCGCATCAGCGTTCTACAACTACTACAAGCAAAACCAAGAGGAGGGTATGTACCTCGTGTGTGTCTCTGAGAAAAGGAAGGCCGTTAAAACACCCCCAGAGATAGAACGCGTCGTTGCTAAGTTCCCTCATCTGTTCGAAGAGCCCACCGGAGTTATTGAAAGGGAAGTTGTCCACGCTATAGAAATCATTCCAGGGAGTAAAACCCCAAAGGGAAGGATCTATAGGATGGCTCCCACCGAGTTAGATGAACTTCGACGACTTAAGGAGTTGACAGAGAAGGGATGGATTCGGCCTAGTACTTCCCCTTACGGATCACCCGTTCTATTCGTACCGAAGAAGGGGGGTACTTTGAGGATGTGCATTGACTATAGAGGCCTTAATGCCATCACAGTAAAGAATGCAGAGCCTCTACCTCGCATAGACGACCTATTGGATAAGGTGCAGGGATGCAAGTACTATAGCAAAATAGACTTGAAATCCGGATATCATCAGATCGCAATAAGACATGAGGACCAACACAAGACAGCTTTCAGACCAGATACGGTCTGTATGAGTTTGTAGTGATGCCCTTTGGTCTTTGCAATGCGCTGGGTACATTCCAGCACGCTATGAATCGGATCTTCCATGACCATTTAGATAAGTTTGTCATAGTGTACCTTGACGATATTCTGATCTTTGGCAAGTCTGCCGAGGAGCACGCACAACATGTTGAGACTTTACTTTCACTTATGCGACAGCACAAGTATAAGGTCAACTTAGAAAAGTGTGAGTTTGGTCGCACTAAGATACTATACTTGGGTCATGAAGTATCTGCGGAGGGGATTAGGCCGGAAGACGCGAAGGTGGCTAGTATTCGAGACTGGCCACGACCTCAGACTCTCACTGAGGTCATATCTTTCTTAGGAATGTGCGGCTACTATAGGATCTTCGTAAAAAACTATTCTACAGTCGGCTCTCCTTTGACTGATCTAACTCGACTTGACACGCCATGGGACTGGAGTGATGAGTGCGAGGGTGCTTTCAAGAGATTGAAGCATGCACTCATGAATCATGAGGTTCTCATGGTTCCCGATCCTCAGAAGCCATTCATAGTGACCACTACCCAATACGGCATTGGAGCAGTACTGGCTCAACAAGATGGGAAAAAGTTGAGACCGATTGAGTATATGAGCAAGAAGATGCCATCAAAGAAGTTGGCAAAGTCCACCTATGAAAGGGAACTATTTGCTCTATATAAAGCACTTGTCCATTGGAGACACTTCCTATTGGGAAGGTTCTTCTACTTGAGAACTGATCATCAGACCCTCAAATGGATCAAGACTCAACCGGCTCTTTCTGATGCACTCAAGCGATGGATTGAGGTCATAGACCAGTATGACTTCAAGCTTGAGTACCTGAAGGGAGAGTATAATAAGGTTGCTGATGCGCTATCACGTAGACCAGACTACCTAGGTGCGCTAGTTTCTGACTTTGGCATATCTGATGAAGTAACTCAATCGTTGGTGGGAACCTATCAAGAAGACCCTGTCACGATGGACATCATTCGCAAACTTCAGGCAAAAGACAAGGCCACGGAAAGCGAGTTTGTGATGGTGGACGGGCTCCTCTAACTTGATAAGGCCGGAATAAAAATATTAGTAGTTCCATCTAGTGAACCTTTGCGTAGTTTGTTCTTAGGAGAATGCCATGACGCAACGGGACACTTCGGCTACAAGAGGACGAGTGCTAACCTAGTACAACGATTTTGGTGGCCAGGAATGTTAGATGACGCAAAGAAGTACGTAGAGACCTGTCAGGTCTGTCAGCGGGACAAGCCGCGAACTCGAGCACCGCTTGGGTTGTTGAAGCCTTTGCCTATTCCTGCTGGTCCAGGACAGAGTGTTTCCATGGATTGCATGGACACCCTGGTGACTAGTAAGAGTGGCAAGAGGCACATCTTCGTCATCATCGATCGATTCACCAAGTACGCTAGACTAGTGGCTATGCCTGAGATCGCAAGACCTGACTATGTCATCAAGTTGTTCAAAGACAACTGGGTGCGTGACTTTGGTTTACCAAAGTCAATCATTAGTGATCGAGATGTCCGATTCACAAGTGAGTTGTGGAAGAAGACTGCAGAACAGATGGGCAGTCAACTTCAGATGACTTCAGGGAATCATCCCGAAGCCAACGGACAAGCCGAGCAAATGAACAGAGTTGTACAGCACTTGCTGAGGCACTACATCAAGCCCAGCCAGGATGATTGGGATGAGCAGTTGCCTCTCATCGCCAGCCTGTACAACAATGTTGTCCACAGCAGTACCGGCGTTAGTCCTAATTAACTTCACTTGGGATGGAAGCCTAGATCAGCGTTAGACTTCCTCCTACCCGAAAACCGACCCGCTGCAACAACAGGCACACTTGAGTATGGTGTGCAGTATGAGAAGTGGCTGCAAGAAGCTGTCGAGCACATTGAGAAAGCTCAGCAAGCAATGATTGCTTCTGAGAATCAACACCGTAGACAGTCCACATTTCAGGTAGGGGAACGTGTCTGGTTCAAGGCTAGTGAGTTAGGACAGGAATTCGGAATCTCTCGCAAACTAATGCCTCGGTACTTTGGTCCCTGGGAAGTCCTGGATATAGTGGGAGATGAGATGGATGGTCCTACATATGTCATTCGTGTCCCTGGACACCTATGCACTCACCCAGTCTTTCATGCCTCAAAGCTTGCACCTCTCGCTGAGACAGATCAATTGCCTTCCAGGAGATCGATGCTGCCCCCAACCATGGATGGTCAAGTGGACATCGACAACATTGTGGATCATAGAGATCTGCCTGTTCAGAAGCCATTGGGTAGAGGAAGACCACCTAAACCCAAAAGAATATCGCGTCAGATTCAGGCATCATACGGATCCAAAGGAAGACCGGTGGTTCACCAGAGAGGAACTGATTGACACAGCTCCTCAGGTGGTAGCAGAATATGAGAAGAAGCTGAAAGGGAAGGCACCTGCGAAGTAAGCATCTTAGCGGACTTTCGAAGCTAAGGGGGACGGAATGTGAGGATTGAGCCCTCAAGTAGGGGCCTTGCCATGATGTACATGTTCTGGGCTAAGGCCCCAGCAAGCCTCGTGCCCGCCCTAAGTGAAGGCGGGCCAGCAAATCAACAAGAGCCCTCTGTGCCAACATTTCACGAAGTGGGGTCCATACAGTTGCAGCACGCCAGTTGGAGTGCACCGAGTCTCGGATTTCAGCAAATGATGAAAACCCAGGGCCTCTGAGTTAGTTAGGCCCTGGGCACTTGAACGTGAGGCCGACAATGCATGCTGGGTATAGAGGCCGAAATTGCCAAAGGGAAATCGGCCCACTAACTGGATCTGGCCGCATGCCTTGACGAAAGAGGTGCAACTGCATCCCCCGGGCCTCAACTATCGGGCCTGGGTTCAGTGACTGGGGCCCAGACGCAGGCTGAAGGGAGGCCGCCCACACGCAACACTGGCATATAGGCAAGTAGGGCGAGTGGGCAGGGATCTTGGCCATTGCGGGCAATGTCGGCACGCTGCGCTAATTGCGAGCTGCTGCGCTGCTGCGTTGCACTAAGACAGGGTGCAAGGCAGGCATGCGCTAGGCGGTAGGGCTCTGCCTGTGCACTCGTCGCTTGGCGGCCATAGCCGGGCTGCATGGGGCGCAAAGGAGGTGAGGGCGAAGGTGGTTCTTCGGAGGTGAAGGGCGCTGTGTGGGTAACAAGGGAGAGTGTGGATGAAGAGGACACGTACCTGGTGGAGGTGGAGGTCGGCATTGGTGTTGACATCATCACTCGTTGGTAGTCAAGTTGTCTGGTTGCTTTCATTGTTGTAGTTGAAGGCTAGGTTGTAGAGTAGATAGGGCGCCTGGCGCCATTCAAAAGAGAGAGCTACATTGGGTTATGTTGTTGGTGTTGCCCTGTTGGGATTGGACATTGACTCACGATTCTTCTGTATCATTCTCAAATGGATGGTTACTCGGTTCCATTATGCTATTTGCTCGTGCTTTGACTACTTGGACTTCAATGTGATTTTGCAATCTGGATTTCTGTGCTTCGTCCATATTCATGTTCCTTGCACTATTATTATTATTATTATTATTATCATTATTATTATTATTATGGTTATTATTCATTGTTGTGGTTGATAGTGCGATCGGACTCGCTTTACTTTCACAACGCAAACATGCAAACAGATGGTGACTTACACTGGCGCACAGCACCCACGCCGAGCTCAGAAGATATGACAGCCGGGAACACGGTTCGGGTGCAACTCGCATCAATAGGCTATGAACACCCCAACTCTCGTAATCGCGTTCGACGCCACTGTTGGCTAACATTTCCACTCTGGGTCACCCTGGATTCCCCACGCACTACAATACTCACAATCACACACCTATCAGCCATGGCCACCGGCTAATACTAGCAACTAGCAGCTATGACTGCGCTAATTCTCTTCAGCCCGCTTCGTCTTCGGAGGCATCTGCAGACCACCTCGTACAAATTACTGTGGTAGCACTTTCGCACGACTTCTGCAGAGATGAATAAATGGATGTACGTTGCCTCTTGATTTACAATGTTGTAACTCGTTGGTCTGCCCTTTCCATCTACCCATGGTACGCACAGTCCCTGATGATACTTGCTAGACTGCACGGGGGCTGACGGGACCAGTACAGCTGGGCCGGTACTGCTGACTGCATGGGTTCTCACTGCAGACTCGTTGGAGTCGCACCATCAACATAATGCAGTTGGGACTATAGCAGTCATGACCTGGACCTTCCAGGATAACTGCAACTGCGATTTCTAGAACTCTTTAAGACTGCTATCTAGCAGATCTACTGATCGAATTCTTACACCTACAAAATCCTACAGCAGGCAAAGAAAAACTAACGAAACACGAGTTGCGGGTTTGAACACTCAGGGGTCTACTTGATACTGCGCACGAGTGAGGTAAGATCTGGGGGTCGAAAACTGGGATCTGCATCTACCTCTGCTGAGGAGAAAACCATTTCAATAATTGCCTATAGTCGGATAAGGTCGTAGCAGAGGGGATTCGACTGCAGAAGACAACTCGTAGGGAGCAAGAATAAAGGTTCGGGAGGGAAAAGAATTAAAAAGAGGGAGGAAGTCGAAAAGGGACTGCTGCTAGAAGAAAGGGAGAGAGAGAGGGGGAGGAAATGGGAGCATTACCAAGTCACAAATTGAATGTTGTCGCAGCTGCTGTGCGGCAAGTTCCTTGAGGCACAGCACACCCCTCCCGCTAACTGTAACAGGCTGGGAAAGAGAGCTTGTATACATTTATAGCAGTACTATTATTAAAGTATTATAGTTGTTGTTATTAATTATTAATTATTATTATTATTATTATTATTATTTTATTATTATTACTATTATTTAGTAACAGGTAGCCCGACCAGCCTCGTGCCCGCCCTAAGTGAAGGCAGGCCTGAAATATCCACCAGGAGCAATGTCCTAGACTCCTAGCATCTTCCAATACGGTCTCGGACAGGGCCGCTCGCCGGTTGCTTGAAGAGCGACCGGGACCTCATCCCGGGGGGTCTCCCTGAAGAGGCAACTGCGAAAGTGGTGGGAGTCGGGGCTTACGCGGCGTGAGGCCGGTTTAGTAAAGAGGGACTGCAGACACTGGGAGCGCAGCATTGTCACCATATCCGTGCGCATGCTCAAAAGTAGCGCGGGACGCGGCCAAACATAGGAACACTAGAACACTATGGCTAGGCATGCGGATTGCTGCGACCAGGACTGTGTGGCAAGCGTTAAGGGGAGCATGTGGACCGAAACGAAGGGAATGCAAGGCTAGGAATAAGGAGTAGGAAGGGTAGAAAAGAAATGTGAAGAGACAAAGAGAGAAGGAAAGAAGGAAAGGAAAAGAGGAAGGGAAAAAAGGAAAGTGACAGGAGACTAACATTTATTATTTTGCTATTTTCCTTTAATAAACGTCATGGGCCACAGATAATGAGAGTGTGGGGCGGTAGAGAGGAAAGGGACGTCATCGTATTAAGATGGTGTCTGCCTCCTCCATCCCCCACCATTCTCTTTCCTCCCACCATTCTCTTTCCTGACTAATCGACTTATGTATCTATCTCTTCAAAATTATGCCTTGCCTAGTAAAAGTGCAAACGACCCATGGCATGTGTGATACGAGATCGATGACAGGGTGATTGCGGGAGCTCTGCCTGAGTTCAGGAAAAACTCTGGAGGCAGGAAACTATGAGGTACGCGTCACCTAACCCTTTCCTGTATACCCTTACAGGCTACGCCCTTCTATTGGACTGTCTATATGGTTGTGTGATATACTGTTTGTGTGTTCTTCCGGACCAAGATAATCAAAAGAGAAAGAGAATATATGATTGAAATAAAAATCCTGCCTGGTGAAAGGAAAGGAACCTAAAGTAACCAAAGAAGGGATCTAGACTGTTCGGGCTTGAAGCACAAAGTAGGGCGATGGAGACTCATGTATGAGCCGTCGTGCTGCTTATGTATGCGCTAACTTGACTAAGGGTTGGCTATGAGGTACTCATGTGTGAGTTACCTTACTCTCTATCGTAACGACTGTCGTCGTGACGGGAAGAGGTATCTGACAATAACTTATGAGCTAAATTTAGGTACTCTCTACCGGATCGACTGT